CGTTTTGGGTCCCCTCAACATTTACAGTCCTGGGCACTGGCGTTTATTGCTTTTATTTCTAGGATCCTTTGGTGCAAGTGTTCATTGGGCGTGCGTTGATAAGCATTGGCGTTCGCCATGTTCAGCAATCTTGCTTTGGAAGAAAGCGAAACTCTGGCTTGTCGGCCGAAGGCTCCAGTTGGCCCAGCAAAAGTTTGATGACTTGCTGCATTCTCGAAGGCTCCCTTCTACACGCGGCTTCACCATTACGGTGCCCCAGCGTTGCTTCATCCCGGCGGTGAAGTCAGCACTGCGGTTGGGCGTTGCCTCTCAACCGAGCTGGGACAAAATGATGCGACAAAATGATGCGGAACTACGTGGTGGAGAGTACTCGGATTGCAGTGGGAAAGGTGCGTACTTTTGCTGACAAGCAAAATTGCGCTCAACAAGCGCAAGTTTTTGACTGGGATGAAGTCCGGCAGTGCAGTGACTCAGAGTTGGCAGATGCGGTGCGTGCCACTGGCGCCCGGCGTGTAGAAACCAACTGGAGGGTGCCTATGCCATCTACGCGAGAAGATGACTTGTCTTCGGTCAAGCAGTGTTTGCGTGGGTGGTGCGGTGCCTTTCTTTCGCCAAAAGTGGCTAAGACGTGCCGTGGACATGCAGCGCGACAGCTGGAAGCAACAAGAGCGTGGAAGATGCATCGTCAACGCGTTGTGGCACTGACAGCAGAGCACGAGCACATTTTCTCCCAATTTTCCGCAGGCAAGCAAGAGGTGATTTGCCCAGATGACAAAATGAAACAGTACAAATGGATTGTGCCGAAGAAGACTTACTTCCTCATGATGGCCTTTTTTGTGTGCGTCTCTAGTGCATGGTGTGCTGTAGACATGTCTGTGGAGGAAGCGCAAGCGTGGTGTGTTGCCCTGCTGACAGCTTTTGTTCCAGCCAGGTTACGTCGACAATTTGGAGTGGTGCCAGGCAGATGGTTTCTTCCGTACTGCTACAACAGCATGAAGCCGAAGTGTTTTTCCAACGGTCGCCGCTCCTGTGAGAAACCAGGGCATTCGTGTATGCGCAGGATAGTGTCCTACGTCAAGTGGCCAGCTCGGCGCATGTGGCGGCAGGCTGGCAGGGCTTTGACTTTCATTCTGCAAATGACTATCTGCACTGATGAAATTTGGGCATTGAATACTGCCCGTCGTGATCTCGAGCGGAAGATGGCGCGCTTGCTTCCTGCCAGACAAGCAGGGCGGTGTGACCGCTGTCATGGTGCTTGTGCAGAAATCCAGGGAATTACTGCAGATGCGGGCCAGTTCTTTGAATGCGTGTCTGCCTTTGAAGCCTGCTCTGCGTTGGACGAAGTACTGACGTTGGCCCGGAAGAACGGCCATACAACTGTCACGGTCGTTGGCAGTCGTGTGGTGTTTTTTGGCGGCTGTATCTTCAGATCTTTGCGCAGATGCCGAGTTTTCTTCATGGAGGATCTTTATTGGCTATTTGCAGCAGCATGCTCCCTTCGGTTTGCATACACTGGTACGCAGGTATGGTCCTTTTCTGGACTCCCGATAGGGGGATTGTTGTCGAAGGTGGCCGCCTCGACAGTTCTTGGCTGGCAAGAGCACTGCTGGAATTTTGACCAAAACAGACGGCAGGTTGCTCAATTCTGGTGGGATGATCGGCTGTGGTCTCACTCTGTTGCTCGTGGGCGATATGTCGATGACCTCATTTGGTTCAGCAGGTCGCTTTGCACTGGGTGCCTTGAAGAAGGGGTGCAGCATGCTTACTCAGTGCCCTTTGAGGTCACCGTTCCTGGAAATAATGGTGCGCTGACTTGGCTTGATTTTTCTATTGTTTTGCCCTCTATGCGTTGGACAGCAAAGCGCAAGCAATTTGTGCCACCTATGCCATGGGCGGCTAGCAAAACCTACGCTTTCAGTGTGCTATCTGGGAGAGTCACTCGTTGGCAGGAGATGCAGCTGTTGCCTGAAGATTTGGCAGCGGCGATGGTGCAGTTGTTTTGTGATTTCTTGAGGGCAGGATGGAAAAAACAACACCTCCGCAGTGCAGTTTTTCGGGTTGCTCACCGCAAGCAACCCCTTACGGGCAAGTTGCTGGTGGCAGGTTTCCTTGCTTGCTTCACGCCTTAAGTTTTGTGCTCAGTGTTTCATTCGCCTCCGCTGTTGCCAATAGACAGGGCCATGTCTTTTGCGATGCGGTGGTGGTGGATGCTCCTATTTGTCGGTTGTGCTTGTGCTGGCCGGCACAATGGTGGCAGAGGATACCGTGAACCCAGACAGCCAGACCAGGGCCAAGCCAGACACTCTGGTCAACCTCAAGTCGTGAGGCTTGAGGTGGCAGTGCGCGGCTCTGAGAAGGACTTTCACCATGATCGTGACAAGCGCCGACGTGGTGGCCACCGCAGTCAGCGCGATCTTGGTGCTGAGGATGTCAGACGAAGGAGCAAGGCCGCTGGGGACAAGGAGAAGAAAAGGAAGAAAAAGAAGAGATCTAGTTCTTCCTCTTCTTCTGCGTCTCCATCATCATCGTCGAGCTCCTCTGTGGCAAAAAAGAAACAGGCCAGGAAACAGGCAAAGAAAGCTGCTGAGCGTGCCCAAGCCAGTGAGGATAGGCTCATGGCAGAAATCCAGAAGCTCAAAAAAACTTTGAAGCCAAGTTCTGAGCCTGTTACTCCAGCTAAGCTACCTGCGACACGTGCCTGTGAGCAACTCACGCCAAAGGCCCAGTCTCATCTCAAGACCTTGCTGTCTTTCATGTCAGATGGAGAGGTGACGCCACTGGTGGATGTGGGAAAGGTGCATACATGGCATGATATCGAAGATCAGCTTAGTGGAAAAACTTTGCCCGTCTTGAAGCAATTTTTGTCTACCAGGATTCCAGAGCCTGAGATTCCAAGTAGGAAAGCTCCTGCTATCCAAAAAGTGCTGCAGCTGGCAAGGGATGCCTTGCCTTGCTGAAGGTGCCGGATGCAATGGCTGGCCTTGACGCTGGGAGTGGCTTTGGGTTTCCTGCTGTGCTGGTGCGTGTGTCCTTTGCACACGCCATGGGAATGCGGCAGCATGTGGCCCCCAGCGGCATGCAGTTTCTGGCGTTGGTGGAATGCTTGGTACATTCTGGCTGTCACAGAGCGGGATTTCACTGCTTTGATGGATGCTTTTACTGGCGCCCATCTCGTGTCCCAACTGAGCTTAGTGAGCGTGAGTGCGGTCTCACTAGTGGCGCTCAAGTTTGGCCAGCAGTTTTCCCATGCGGTTGAGGCTGTGTTGCAGTCTCCTAGGGTCCGTGGCAGTTTGCACCTCCAGTCATAAGCTGCATTGGTGTTATTTTTCTTGTCCCATTTTTTGTGCTGGTTACGTGATGGGAGCAGTGAAGCAGGAGCAAATTTGAATTTGCACTTGCTGAGGGTTTCCCTTGGATGTGATTCCACTTGATTTGTTTTTGAGTTTTTGGAAGAGTTGTTTCATGTCTTCTGGACGGAGTGTTGCGATGCCATACTTTTTCCATGTCTTGTCCTCCTGCCAACTAAGGTGCCAGAAGGTGGATCTTTTGAAGTGTTCTGTTTTTTCTTTTTGTTTGTTGGTTTTTCGATTGTTCTTGGGTGGGTTTTTATTTGATTGGACTTCACGGTCCTCCCTGTTTTGATTTGAGCTGAGCGAAGACAATGAAGTTTGACGGCGGTGTTTTTTGTTTGTCTTATTTTATTTGATTTTGATGTGGTTTCCACTTCGCATCTTTTGGCTGAATAGACCCAGGGTTCAGGCCGGCGCTCAAGCGGATTGTGCCGCGCACGCAATTGCGGGCTCGGGGTGAAAAAAGACTGCTAATGTATTATTATATCTAAAGTCTTTATTGTGGCTGAATCGGCTTAATAAACTCAATGTGCATGATTGTTCCATTGTCAAGGCTCGATTTTTCTCTTGGGTCACATCAAAAGGCGGGTCTCCAGTCCAGCTGTCGCCAGTCTAAGACTTCCGGTGTCGGCGCTTTTTCATATGGAACGTCCCACCGTCCCGCCATCTAAGATCGGGGGATCGTTCTGGGACCAGGGAGACCAGAGCTAGTGCCTCGGCAAAACGAGAGTGTATTGATCTGGTGCGCGCTGCGTGCAGTGTTGCAATCATATCTTTCAATACCTACAAGATCTTTCAATATCGTTAAATGCGTATATCATATATTGTACATTATATATATATATTGTAAATTATATATCATATGTTGTATATTATATATTATATATTATCTATACAATATATAATAGTATTATTAAAAAATACATATTATATATATATTATTTATTCCATACTATATATTTTACACTATATAGTATATATAAAATACAATGTTATAATATAGTATATTATGATATAATAATATATATACATATTCCACATTATATATGATATATTATATATTCCATATATTATACGTTATATATTATATATAACATATTATATATTATATATTATATATTATATATTATATATTATATATTATATATTATATATTATATACTGTATATTATATATTATATGTTATATATCATATATTATATATTATATATTATATATTGTATATTATATATATGATGTATTATATATTATATATTATATGATACATAATATTGTAATATATGTATATAATATATATATATATGTATATACACATGCACATACATATATATATATATATATAATTAATATAATATATATATATTATGTGAGCCTGGCTTGCAATTTCTTGCATCGTTTGAACAGTTTTCATAGTAGCTTCTTGGTTGACAAGTCGCGAGACGACTTTGTGTATTTTGTTCGATGTCCTGACGCTGAAGTTGAACGTAAACCTGGATCAAAACATGACAGCTGCTAAGAGACTTAGAATTTCCGAACTGAACTGAAGGCAGTGTCAAGGAGCAGGTGCAGCTTGACGACGTGCAAGCGTGGATTCAGCATGATTGAGCCACATTCAGCCTTTTTGGCTCCGCGTTGCCATGCGGTAACGCAACATCTCGTGCCATCACAGGCTTGAAGTAGTGCCTTGGATCATCTCAGATCGGTGAGCATCGGATGTTTGTTGAGTCTCATTTCTTCTCCCAAGGTCTCTTATGTCTTTTTGCCAATGGTTTTTGCTGTTCGAACACGTTTGAATCATTTCAAGGCGACAAGGGTTTATCATATAAGTTTATCCACATTTCATGTGCATCTATGACGAATTCATACGATTTCATACTAATGATATACTAATTCATACCAATTCATAGCAATTCATACTTTTGTTCATAGCAATTCATTGAGAATCGCGATTTCGAAGGCAATGCCATGTCGCCATGTCTGAGGTCAAAGAATCGTTGCCGGCGCCCTGTTTGGCTGCGGTGAGTTTTGTTTCGTGCACGTTGCCGGTGCTGAGTTTTTGCACGGTGCTTGTCGGGCCTTCATAACATTTGAGTACCTGTTGAAAGTTCAAAGAGACTTGAGACTCAGAGAGGTCGCGGAGAAACTAGCAAATTTCACAGTAGAATCATGAAACATCTAGAGCCACAGATAGACACGTACGTAGACACGTACGTAGACACGTACGTAGACACGTACGTAGACACGTACGTAGACACGTAGACACGTAGACTGCCATTGCCCAGGTCTACTGCCCAACTCTTTCCATATCCTGAATGGGTCAGCAGCCTTGGAGCGCCAAGGGTGTTTCCGATCACCGGGAAACTGGGAGAAAACGACCTCTGTGTCAGAGTTCGCGTCTACACCCATTGCCAAATGGGAGACAATTCGGTCAATGTTTGAATTTCGAGGCATGCATGCATTAATATATCATCATTCATATTTCATTACCCATAGACTCCATGGTGCTGCTATATATGGTGCTCCATGGATCCCATCAATATACCCCCTTTATGTTAGCATTAATATACCAGCACCATGGATCCGTCATGGGTTAATATATCATTAATACTGGATTATTCCATTAATATATCATATTCCATTAATATATTAATATATCATCATTAATACCAATTAGATCCAATGAGTTGGTACTTTGGCTATCTTTGGCTCGGATTATTCTTGGCGTGCCAAGGTCATGAGATATCTACAATGGAGTTTGCTGGCGAGTGCTCCCGTCTTTAAAGCCTTGCCACATTGGCGTAACCTTTCTCTAACTTTAAGATTCCGACTTGTCACATTATTTCGATGTTTCATCATCTTTCTACATTATTCTGGTTATGCTTGAAAAAAGCGGTATTGGCGGCTACCAATATCCTGCTGTTCTACTTGATTTTGGCCTTCTCAGGCCAATCCTGACTTCAGGTACTCTTTGGCATGTGGGGGATCTTGATATATTTTGATTCAGTGTGATTTCGCTCCGGCGCAACGTTTCAATGAAGACATCTCCACAGACAGTCAGACAATTCAGGTGTCAAGATAGTCTGCAAATGCGAAAGGTAGGAGGCTTCAAACAACCCAAGAAGCGAGTGTGGGCTCTCCTTTGTAGCGCAGGATTGCAGGTTGAAGGAGTTGGTAGTATTGCAAGTATAGTACACACACATATATGATTCTATATGTATATATGATACTTACATATAGATAACATGTGTATATATATATATATACACATACACATACGAATATGATACATAAAATACATATACGAATATAATACATCATATACACTTTGCTTGAAGCGTTGAAGAAATCTACCTTTGCCATTTCAGGTGCATGGCCTACCTCGGGCTATAGCACACACATTCCATGTTGGTACTGCTCCTCTGCAGGTCGGCCAGGCAGCGGTTCGGTCCAAGAGATGGCTTGTTGCAGAGGCAGCGCAGTGACCGTGATCACCACGATCGTGGCAGAAGCAGACCCAAGTGACCCAAGTGACCCAAGTGACCCAAGTGACCCAAGTGACCCAAGTGACCCCAGTGACCCGAGTGACCCGAGTGACCCGAGTGACCCGAGTGACCCGAGTGACCCGAGTGACCCGAGTGACCCGAGTGACCCGAGTGACCCGAGGGACCCGAGGGACCCGAGGGACCCGAGGGACCCGAGGGACCCGAGGGACCCGAGGGACCCGAGGGACCCGAGGGACCCGAGGGACCCGAGGGACCCAAGTGTTGAGCGCATGATAAGACTCCAAGCTTCATCCGGCTTCACAGTGTTTGTAAATGGGACTGTAGCCAGGTCGGAAGTGTTGCCACATGTTGCCACATGTTGCAGACGGGGCCAGGATGGTCATGTGGCTGAGGAGCCACAGGAGCCACGGCTATTGCGTAGCGAGGTGTTGAGCTCAGCTGGCAGAAAAAAAGGGGGCATGATTGCTATCCCTTCGACCAAACTCTTCAAACATGTTCAACTTACCCTCTGGTAATTCAACATAGCTATTGAAAATGACCATTTATAGTGGATTTACCCATTGAAAATGGTGTAGCTATGTTAGTTTACCAGAGGGTAAATATGGTCATTCCATGTTTATTTTGACATTGCCGATGTTTCACTGCCCTGAATTGCACCGTGTTTTTACCATGGCCCAAGGTCACAATTCCCCACAATTCCCCACAATTCATGTCGGCTGATTCCGCCTCGCCATGTCGGTCTGCTCTGTCTGGTGGGCGAAGAGACAGACTTTCAGAAGAGATTGGCGCGACCTTTTCGAAGCTTCCTGTCGGCAAGTCTATGAGTCGATTGGCACACTATTCAGGTCGCCAGTCCTTCACAAAGGGCTTGCTTCTCATCGACATGTCACAATCTATGCGGCACATGCTTGAGATCACTTCACAGGACTGACAGTGGTAGACCCGGTACACAATGCAGAGCTCATCTCCGTCCCAGGGTAAGGAGTTCGTCACAGACTTCGACCTCAGGAGCGCGACCAGTCCTCATGGCCCTCATGGCCATCGTTTTCCCAACCGTGTGCGCTTCAACATGAACACTAAGGATAGCAAGTCAGACATTGCGGTCATGAGCCTCAGTTGCAGGCCAAAGCATAACATCAATGTCCAAATATCATGAAATATCCATGAAACGCAAGAGTGACCAGCAGTTCGTGGAGGGTGAATGGAAAGTCGCACAGTGGCAAGACCTTGAAGGAAGTGAGAAAGCGGCTAACTGTGCTGCTGATGAGAATCGAACATCCATTGCCGCAACTTACAATCGCACAGGTGCAGTGATGCTGAAAAAGATTGGACACAAGATGCTCCAAGCATTTTGGAGCGCACACAGAGGACGTTAACAGTTTGCTATTGAAAATGGCCATTGAAATAGTGGATTTTCCCATAAACAATGGTGATTTTCCATAGTTATGTTAGTTTAACAGAGGGTAAGATTTATGACCTGGCTGCCATGGCGCTGGCGACGCAGAACTTTCAGCAGAGCTTCTGGTCACTTGCGCCAAAAGCCTCGGTGAAAAAGTGATCAGTTTCGAGTTTCGAGCGGCTTTTCTTATAGATTCTGTTAGAGCGGCTGCTAGAGCGGCTGCGCTCAATATACATTTTTCATCATTTTTCCATGGCAATTATGGAACATCACCATTTTTAATAGGTAAACCATCTATAAATGGGCCATTTTCCATGGCTATGTTAAATAACCAGATGGTATACATTTTTCATCATTTTTCCATGGCAAGTATGGCAATTATGGCAATCTCATCGCGCCCAGACCCACGGTCGAATCCGCACTGGCAGTCTGCAAGAGCGACAGCAGGACCGGATGAAAACACATGAAGATAGATGACATCTTTCACCAAAAAGACAGGTCTATAGCATGTTGCACAAGTTTCCACAAGTTGACAACAGCTTCCCCAAAGCCTTTTCCCTTTTTTGTTTACACATGTCCCAATCCTGGATATCAGTGAGAAAGGAAACATATTGCGTCCACACAATAAATGGATACCGCAACACACGTGTATTTCTTTCTCTGCCACCGTGGGACCATGCTGTGAGAGGACTGCGATTTTCCACCCTGCCCTGTGGATTGCGCTTCATCTGACTGGTCACCTTGGGCTACTTGTTCACTCTGCCAGGGCACAACCAAGAGGCCAGAGGGATGATGTAGAAAGATGAGGCCTTACCCTCTGGTAAACATACAAAAAGCTATTGAAAATGGCCATTGAAATAGTGGATTTTCCCATTAAACCATGGTGGATCTTTCCAGTTTGCTATGTTGAATTACCAGAGGGTATAGGGAGAGACTTCCTTGTTTTCTAAGAGATGAGTTTGACTCACGATGGCAGGAATCGGACCGTGCTTCGAGAGCCAGAAAACGGTGGCCTTGTTTGTGGCAAAGTCTCACAGGTCAAGAACTGTAGCAACGAATGTGTGGATTGCTGCTCGGTAGAACACAGGGTGGCGCAGGGTGACACCCCATGCCAATTAAGTACATCATATATCATCATATTACATCACATCTGCCAGTTTTACATGATCAAAATCGTGTTCCGCCTTCTTATTTTCTGTCCCTGGATGACGTACTCCTTTCTTGAGTGCACCACAGCCTGCCGTGCCAAGATGCCGAGGTGAATGGGACAACTTCACGGAATGGGGCGAATGTAGTGTTTCCTGTGGCGGCGGAGTTGAAAAGCGCAGCCGCGACGTCAAGGCCCACAGCTAAGATTCTGACTCTAAGACCCATGGAATCCATGTATGCTATATATGGTAACATGGATCCCATCAATATACCCCCAATGTTAGCATATATACCATATGGATCCTATGGGAGATTGCAGGTCGACCTTATTGGAATCAGTTGGAACAGTTGCCATGCCGCGCCAAGCAACGGTCATGGCGCTGTCTGAGGTGAAACAGGTGGGTGGTGGCACCAACTGCAGTGGCAACTCCACGGAGGAACGCGCGTGCAATACACAGGCGCGGGTCACTGCCTGGTCGGAGTCATATGGGGCCTATGGGGTGGGGCTAAGCCTAAGCTCCGTTGTTGAAGTCTACAGTCATTGAATTACACCATTTTAACTTGCGCCCAGCACATCCCACCATCTTTGCAGTTCTTATAACCCATATGTTCCATGATGTTCCTATCAGTTTTTTGCTCTCTGCAGACTTGCACGGTGGACTGTGAGTGGGACGCACCTCAGCTGCAGCTCTTGGAGCCCAGAGCTTTCCCAACTTTGCCCTGAAGCCCATGTGAAGTCACCAGGCGGTCAGGATCCTCGTAAGCCAAACCACCGTCGCGTAAGGAACATCCTCAGCGGCGTAAGCAACGTGTAAGCTGTGCGTAAACACATCCTTATCATCCTTACGACCTTTGAATCTATCAAGGTTATTAGCAGGGCACATGTGAAGATTGTGAAGCCCATGGGAGAATTTTTGACTTCCATCAAATATATTCAAATATCGTCAAATTACATTGGTGCTGATATCGGCACCAAACTCGGTTCCACATTCAAGAGGGTCTTGACATGCCTCAACAGATCTAGAGAGCAAATGTGGCTTTTTTTTTTTTTTTGTGGCGTTTTTTTGGTATCCTTTTGGTGTCCGTTTGGTACCATCTGGTTATTTAACATAGCCATGGAAAATCACCATTTTTAATAGGTAAACCATCTATAAATGGGCCATTTTCCATGGCTATGTTAGTCATAACCAGAGGGTATCCTTTTTGGTATCCAGTTCATCTAGAGCTGTGCGTCACTGAGGAATGGGGCCTTTGGACTCCATGTTCCAAAAGCTGTGGCAGTAGTGTGAAGAAGCGCAGCCGAGCAATCAAGATTCCAAAGGCTGGGAAATTGGGAAACCAAAAGAACAACCACTTTAAAAAGAAGGGGCATGAAGGGGCAACGGATGGCAACGGGCTTTGAGGTCTTTTTTTGAGAGTCCAAAATTAGAAAGTTTCGAATGTGCAAAAATTATATGCGCCATTCACATTCTGAGAACCTCGAGTACTGTTGCCACCTGGTGAAACAAGCCTGGTTTGTTTCCAGCACATTAAGATTGAATTCAATTTGCCAGCTCTGTTTGGACAAAAATCTGGCTGAGTCTACTATGTATTGAGGTCAAGGTTATCCAAGACGTTCTCGTTGCCAGGCAAATGGTGGCAAGGATTGTGTTGGCGTTGCCGACGACGAACGTCCTGTGGCGATGAAAGTTTACCTGTGCACACTTCGTGGCGGAAAACAACAGTTGATTTCACTAAGTCCGGAGCACTTCTGGCGACAGAATTGGCTATTGGCTCGAATTTGATCCCACATTGACCCTGTATAGTTTTAACCATTCGAAAAAAAAATCTGTTCTGATGTTTTAAGTGTCGCCTTCTGCTACTCTTTCTGCATCCGGATCCGGTGATCCGAGGAATTTGCCAAAAACCGCAGTGTCCCAAAGACTGCGTTGTCACGGAGTGGACAGACTGGTCACCATGCAAGCCCTACTGCTTGGGCAAACAAACCAGGCCGGCAAAGCGAGAACGAAACAACTTAAATGCTGCTATGGAAGGTGGTGCCTTTGACTCAATGACTCCAAGTATGAATTATTTTATATAATTTATATACATAATTCATATAATTATATAATTCATATTATAATTAAATACTTTACTTTACATTCTGTTTTTGTGAAAACATGCAACTGCTGCAAACGAGAACTGGCTGAACTTTCGGACCAGAAAAAGCAACATGATATTGATGACGTTGAAGTTCACAGATTCAAAGTCCTTCCGTCTTCAAGTCTGATAGCTTCATTTTGAGTTCTTGCTGCTCTTGCAATGTCCCCAGAGCCTATTTGTGCCTCCAGTTTTTTCTCCCCGGCATTGTGCCCTTTCTCATCTCCAGCATGATTTGGGACCCTTTTTTGGACATTTTTGGACCCTTTTTTGGTCAGGAAGCGCAATGTGACGGTGGAAAACGCTTTCGGAGGACAGTCCTGTTCACATCCGTGGGTCACGCGTTGCAAGGACTTTGTGAGCGTCAAAAGCTAATGCGCTTGTGGCAAAAAAAATCAGTCAGTTATACATAGTTGCACAGACAATGTAGAAACTGTATGAGTCAGTCATACTTGATTTCTTTCCAAACACATGTATTATGAGCGACATCTTGAATGCAAGCTAGCAGGCAGCGTCCTCGTAAGATCTCATCAAATCGATCTTCTCACAGGTTTCTTCAATTAGCAAAATTGTTCTCGTATGTCGATCGGTACCAGCACTTCATTTTAATATTCGTTGAACTTTGTTGTGCCGTTATCAAGGTGGTTTCTTCACGTTTTTCACGACACAAAAATCTCGCAGGACAAGCTTGCCCGGACTTGGAGGACTCGCGTGTTTGCAGCCACTACTGCTGCTCGGTTTTTTTTACAGGATCAATCAGGATCATCCCAGCACCCAGATATGTCCAGATATCATGATATATCAGCTGGTTAAGTATATCACTGGTGAAGTATATCACTGGTTAAGTATATCACTATAGTATATCAATATATATCATCTATATCCCAATGATCTGGTACCATCCCAATCAGATATGGTAACCCTCCCAATCATCCCACCAGACATGTCCGGATCCATCGCCCGCTGGTACGGAGCCCAGGTGTTGACTGCAAGTGGTCCGATTGGACCGACTTCACGAAGTGTTCCAAGAGCTGTGAAGGCTCAAAGATGTTCAAAGATGTTCAAATAAAAATTACATTTCTATAAAGGATACCAACATCTTATATGGCAAGAGCTGAAGTTATATTAGATTATATCAATTACTACAAAGGATGTCAAAATCTTCACATCTAGCCAGAATTTGTCAAAGAATATCCTCAAGACGGGTCAACGTGTTGCACTGAACAGTTCTGAGCCAGTGTGTGTTTGTGCAGGTGGCAAGAAAAGCCGTGCGCGGGAGCAGAATTTTCAACTCAGAGGCACGGTTGAGGGTTGCAAGGTCAACCGTTCAATAGTCTTGCAAGGACTGAAGAAGCATCATACAATATATATATATATATACATATAATATAATATCATATATATAATATATAATATAATATCATATATATATATACATATAATGTAGTAATTAAGAAACTGATTCAGACTATCTTCAGTCATATTCTTGGACTTTAGTTGTTGGACTTTCAGCTGGAGAATCGCCAGAAACTCCGAGCGCCCTGGTGCCCGGCTACACTCTGCTGGGGCCTGGGCAATGCCAAAACTTTTACCAAACCACAAAGGCGCTTGCCGCGGCGCCGCGAGCGTCTGACATAATGTGGGTATGGGTCAATACCTATTAATACCATTTTTAGTGGGATGAACATCCATTTACCAGCTATTTGATGTTCACCAGGGGTACAAGGTTTTGACACACTGCCATGTGGCGTGGCAAGGTCCAAAGTAATCCAAAGATCAGACATCTCCAAATGTTTGACAAATTTGAGATGATAATTGAGATGATAATTGAGAGGTTTAGAGATGGCCATGTGGATTTTGAGCAAAGAGCGGGTTCCATGGAAGGTGGAAGGTGGAAGGGGTCATCCTGCGCCATGCCGATGCGAGCCGTCAATGGATGTTCCAATTGGGCAGGACGCGGACGCTGCTTCACCAGAAGCATGCGCAAAGACTTGCTCTGCCGATGTCCAATGCAGTTTTTTCTCACTCAACTTGGGCGTCGCATGCAACAAGTACAATGTGACTCGGTTGCATGTGGTGGTATGTCATAATTATGTCATACGTCATCATAATGTTCTTCAAACTGCTTAACTTGGCTCCATGTTGACTCGCACATGTTTGATGCTTTGCTAAGCTTCACCGATTTGTTCCCAATTTTTTCCCGCTGAGGCAAGCGTAGGTGAATGTGAACTGAGACCTCGAGGCCAGCAGATCGAGACATCTTACGGCTGTTGACATTTTCATGGCAGAAAACACGATGAAGGACCTGTTGAGACGTGTTGAGACATGTTGAGTAGATAGTGTTGCTAGATATGGAGCTTTCCATAAATGGGGGTACCCCCATTTATGGATGCGATGGATGGTTTATTTCATGGAAAATACCATGGAAAATACCATTTTTAATGGATGATTTTTGTTATGGTATTCCTATTTCAGGAAACCTCCATGTTGCTTGTACCCTATGGACAAACTCATCACCCTGGTCGAATCATAGTCCATTTTAGCCTGACCTGAAGCCCTGAAGGCTTTGCCATTCATGCAATACTCCATGAATTGTCATACATCAATATATTAATTCTGTGACTATATTAGTGCATATTTGCATATGAATTATTATATATTCACATATATATATATATATACATACACATCCATTATATACACACAATCCGGTTGGTTTCTTTGAGCTGCGCATTGCTTGAGGTCAGAGCAGCCACAAAAGTTACCGGAAGGAGCAGTGGACGCAAACATTCGGATACGAGTTGAACAGGAATCAAAAGTGCACAAAGCCGTACCCTGGCTTCGAGCTCTTCTGGTACGTGCTAAGATGTACCAAGGGTTCTTTGATCAAAACTTGGCAATTATCAGACTTTGTGACATGCGTTGGAGAGCCTGAGAGACTTTAAGGAAATACTCATGAAGCACTCATAAACGTAGTCATGAAACTTCTCAGTTGAAATGACACTTCCATCAATGTAGGTAAAACAATAATAATCCAAGCCATTTTTGATGGTTTATACCACCATATACCACCTATAAAAATGGTGATTTCCTTGGAAAAGGTCATGAGTTAAAGCCGTTCATGGCCCAAGGCGCGCGGAGAAGCTGGCCCTGAAGGAAGCCCGAGCGGTCTGCAGCGCTGATGAAAAGTGCGGGGGTGTCTTGACCGCAGGTATCCCGAAAATCATCATGAGACTAGAAGAATCACAGTGATTCTGATGCGTTTGACATTGATGGGTCAAATTCGAATTCGGCAGGCAATGCGCCATTTGGATTCCATTTGGAGCATTGCCTGAACGCAGTCATCTATAGCTGGGAAGAACATAGAACTGGTGCCCCAATGCTCCAAGGCCTTTATGATTCTGGTTGTCTTGGTTCTGCAGTGCTTTGTGACGGCTTTGGCAACGACACAGAGGTGAACGGTAACGGCTTTGGGGAATCCATTTGGAGACCTTTGTCACCTCATGGGAAGCAACATTTCGGACATAAGTTGGATGCTTTAGGATTGAAAGATAAACAGAGCTTGTGAGCATCGAAACTTTTGAATACAACATAATACAACTTTGCAGAGACACAATTAATTCAAAGGAACGCGTTCGAGGGTCATTGTTTTTTGTATTTGTTTTGAAGTTTTGAACACTTTTAAGTTCGTAAAAAACTAGAAATGCCACGACTAAAGAAGGATTGATACTATCGTCATTGTTGGAACTGTCGTAGAACAAGCTTTACGGAGGCAGATTGAATCCACTTTCTAGTGGAAATCGTCCACTTTTTGCATCTTTTTGCATCTTTTAGCCACTTCGCATCACTTCGCAGGTTGGCTCATGTATGCACAGGAAGGTAGAGATCGGTGGCGGCGAAACGTGCACTGGAAATGCACAGCAAGTGGAGGACGGTCCCGGTAAACAACCACGAAAACAGAGGCATCACTTTGCCAATCGCCATTTCAAAACTGTCATTTTAAAGTTGCAAAAGACAAAAGAACCTGGAATCCGCTGGAAGACTATGGAAGACTAACTGCTTTAGCTGCTTTGCTTCACTAATATTTAGACTTTAGTTAGCTGTCAATGTTTTCGTGTCATATCGGCAGGACTGCAACATTCAGCTCTGCCCCATCAATTGTAAGCTGGGCGACTGGAGCGCTTGGGGAGAATGTGCACCTTCCTGCAATGGCACTGAAACTCGAAGTCGCCCCATCCTGCAGGAGAGCGGCAAGATACGCAGTCAGAGTTGGAGGGTCGAGAGTTGGACCAATGCTCTGTGTTCTTTCAAGACGTTGGAACCGTTGGACCTTTTTTCCGCATCTACAATAATTCCAGCAAAGCGTGTGCTGACGCCTTGTTTGCTCAGGAAAATGTCGACGTTAAAGGGTAAAGATGGGTAAAGCAGTCGGCTAGATTCTTCACAGAAATTCAGCGGATATTTTGGAATCGTCATACCTCTGACCCATTGACTGACTGGTCTTTGCCCTTCGTAAGGAGGCAAGAAATGGTGGAACACCATGTGGAGAGACAGTGGAGCAGAAACCATGCAGCAAGATCTGCGTGGATTGCAGGCAGATATGGAGGTTTCCTAAGTCATGGTACCCCTAGGCCCTAGTCATCCAGCTATTAGATTGGGATTTTCCATGAGAAAAATCACCCAGCTATTGGGGACTCCTCCATGACCATGGAAAAAAACCCATCCGCATGGTGTCACAGCGCCAGGTGGTCCGATTGGAGCGCCTGGGACACTTGTTCTGCCAGCTGTGCAGGGGGTCTTTACAGCCGAAGCCGCTATATCGCTGTGCAGGTCTGGCCCAGCAATGCGACAAGATCCGGCAGGTACATACATCCTATGATGTTGTAGGATAGGATATTGTATAGGATACTCTGTAAATGTCTGTAATCTATAAGAACCTCATGCTACATATTGTTAAAAATACATATGTTGCATCCTCGCTATTCCTTGCAGTGCAAACCATGAAAACCCGAAAACCCTTCGTGAAATCCCAGTTCGTTACATCTCATCACTTGAAATCTGCAAGTTCCGGGTATTGATTTTGGCAAATCAATGCTCTCGTCTCCAGCTTCATATACACTAGTTGCATGAGAGCAGCCTTAGAAGCCAACCGATTTCAAGCTCGACGTGGATTGATTTGGCGTGTTTAAAGCCACCGCTACGCAGGCTGAGGGCCCTGGCAAGAAGTGCGAGGGAAACAGCAGCGAAATTGAGGCAGAATTGGCAGAATCGCACTTTCGGGTGGGATGAAATTGCGTGAAGCCACAGAATAGAAGATGCAACCAACACAATTTAAAGATACGTCAAGTGGGAAGGGCGTCTCCACTCCCCAAGGCAAAAGACACGAATATCAGATAAACCATGACAGACCGCGATGTTTGGACCACTAGCTGGCTTGGCTAGCTGCTAGCTTTTGTGCCAAGATTGTTTAGTTGCAACATCTTCATGTTTGAGATTTTGTAGACGGAAGATGCTGCGGGCATGTTGCGGCTATTTGTAGCGTAGACAATCATAGAACTTAGAGCTGGGGAGGGAATGGCTGAATGGCTGCTGCATGTTGAGCGTGAGGTCTGTGATGGCATTTGCTGGAAACACTAATTTGTGATGTGGGTATGGGTCAATACCTATAGATACATTTTTAGTGGGATGAACATCCATTTACCAGCTATTTTGAGGTTCACTAGGTACCAGGGTTTTGACCCATCCCCATGTTTGAATTGCAAAAGTAGCAAGGACTTCTTTGTGATGGGAGAATACCAACATTGACCAATACCAACATCACATACAAATACGCCCCGCATCTCCTTGCATCTCTTCACATCTCTTACAGTTGCTGGTTTGAGGCTTGCAACACCGAGTTTTGTCCCTCTGATTGTGAAACCAGCAGCTGGTCACAGTGGACAGATTGTGAACCATATTGCAACTTGAGCTGCAATTTGGAGGTTTCATGAGGTTTCTGCATCGGCATTTGATCTTGAGCCTGCTTGAATACAAGGAGTGACGTCACAGTTGTGACATGGCATAGGATTGGACTATGTTTGGTTCATGGATGCTCACAACAGGCAATGGCACGCAAAATCGCAGCCGCGTTATCCAAAAGCCTGCCGCAGATGGGGGAGCAGGCTGCGGTGCACTGTGGCTTGAACTGCACCGGACGCGAACATTCAAACTTAGAGGGTTCCAGAGGGGAAGCTTTGATTGTTTAGACGGTCTGATTTGTAGGATTTATAGATCTTTATGATTTATGATGATTTATGACTTTTTCTCTGGGCAAGAAAACAACTGGTCAAGAATTTTCAGGCTGCGTGTTTTCTGCCCTTTGCCTTCTCCACATGCATTCAGAATCGGTCGTTCGCACGATTTTTTTTGCTTGGAAAAAAACTTGATTCAGGGAAGTTTGTTCAAATCTACCTTCTGGGTTTCCTTGTAATGAGCAAGGGCTTTCTTTTCAAGCTTTTTACTTCTTCTTGCCTGCCAAAAGAAGACAACAGAAACCAAAGCAGGGCACCATAGCAGGAGATGTTTGTTTGTGATCTTTTGTGAATTTACGTGTTGAGATCTATTGAGGTCCGAAATGCGCACCTGCGCCAACTTTTGCACCTTGGCATTGCGTTTGAAGTTCACTGGGAGTTGCGTACATTGCTGCTATGCAGTACCATGCCATACTCGTAGCCTAGTGTTTGTTTGCCTTCACTCTTCGAAACCTTGGGCCATTTCTTTGTACAACTTTTAAGATATCATTTTAGTTATATTTCCCATAGAATCCATGTATGCTATATATGGTAACATTTACCATCAATATACCCCAAATGTTAGCATATAATATATACCATACATGGATCCTATGGGTTTGATGATTATCAATCGAAAAACTTCATAGCTGTGCTGTCGCAGCCCTCGCAGGCATGGATTGCCAGTTGAGTTCGTGGAGCGACTGGACCAGCTGCAGTTTGACATGTGCCGGTGGACTCCGTCAGCGCAGCAGGAACGAGGTCTTCGTGCAGAGACTGCACAAAGCATCGAACGAAGAAAGCGAAAACGAAGAGAACATGGCCTCACTACTGGAGACAGGTCTGGAGCCTAGCTAGCCATAGCTAGCCTAGCTTTGGTTACAACGGATTTACATACGGTTACATTAAGTTGAATTCAAGGCAGATGTGTTGGATACAAGTTCATGTGGCCACATATACAAACATACAACGTATGAATATTGTGTATATATATGTACACATACATACATACCATACGGAGTTGCATACTGTGTATGAGATTATACGGATTATCTTACATTCAGTTTGTAAACATGTATCTAATATATTATATACCCATACATGATACATGACATACAATACAGTGAACGTTTTTTCACAGCAAGAGCCGAATGAAACCAACTGGTTTGGAGCACCTTGAGGTGAAGGAAGCGCAGCGTTTGGCTATGAAAAGAAACTGGGTGTGAGGCCTCCCTTAATTAATGTGTTCCAATGGCAGAATGGAACCTGAAAGGCTTGAAACATCAGAAACATTCAGCAGCTTGAAAGACTTGAAAGGCTTGACAGACGAACATTTAGGCTCTAGACAATTTATGTCAATTTATGACAATTTATGTCAATTTGAGCTCTGTGTCGAACCTTCTAGGCCGATTTCAATCTGGAAACAGGTGCCTTTCTTCCATGGATTTGTCGCCTCCTTTATAGGTGTGACTTGGAGCACCAGCAGACGAAGGATGGTGCGGGTCAGAGCCCAGACGAGGCAGCTTGACTCAGCTTGCGAGTTTGGTCGCACATGGAATTTGCATCGAATTTGCATCTACCATCTGGTTATGACTAACAGTTTGCCATGGAAAATCACCATGCTATTAAGAACGGTAAACCATCATAAACCATCTATTTCTATGGGCCATCTATACCATGGCGAACTGTTAGTCATAACCAGAGGGTATTTTGCATCTATTTTGCAATTTAAGAATTCTTTGCCATGATTTTTCTAGGCTGAGTTTTAAGCACCACCAGCTGATATCAGCTATTTAAGCATTTCACTTGCATTTCGTACAGATTGAAAGTGACGTGACATGATGAGATTCCTTGAGTCTGCTTCCTGTTGCTCCTGTGTTGTGAAATTTGCCATATTTTGCATATGCACATGTTCAAAGAAATGAGTTTTTTTGTTGAATCCTCATGTGCTAAACAGAGAGCAAACGTGAAATTTGCCACGCCTCTCAGGCGGAAGGCGGGTCCCTGCAGTCACGACAGCTAAAGACCTGAGAAGGGTGAGAGTTTTGCAGTGTTTGCAGTCATGGAACATAATTTGCGACGCCTCTCAGGCGGAAGGTGGGTCCCTGCAGTCACGACACGCTAAAAACTTGAGAGGGGTGAGAGTTTTGCCGTGTCAGGTGTATGCAGCGCAGATCACAACTGCGGTGGGCTCTACGACAAAGGCTGCAATGGATGGCGACTGGGCTAAACAGCTAAACTTGTCACATCAAGCTGACTATGGCATGGGCTATGTATGGACTGTGCAGATGACTGTAAGTGATATTGCAAGTGGCTAGAACGCACTAGAACGGAGAAACACAGAGAAGCACAAAGGGAGATGGGGCATGGTGTGGAAGCTTCGGGGCCAAGCTCCAAATGCCCAGGTTGACCATTTGTCGAATGCTCAGTCTCAGTCTATCTCAGTCGATCATGGAGGTCATGAAACCCATTGAAACCCCACACATCACGAGTCTCAACGTCCTCCATCTGGTACCTTTGGATACTTTCAACAGATACCATCTGGTTATGACATTCACAGTTTGCCATGGAAAATCACCATGCTATTAAGAACGGTAAACTATCATAAACCATCTATTTCTATCTATCTCTATGGGCCATGGCTTCCATGGCTATGTCTGTTAGTCATAACCAGATGGTATCCAAAACTGAGGTACTGTGGGTTTGATGCTCGAGGCTGAAGCTGACAGCTGCGCCTATGTGAAGAAGGACCACGGAGACCATCCGAAAGCATCGCAGACACAGAGCTCGATGCAGCGGATTGTCCTGTAGAAATAGCCAACCTGGTTATGACATTCACAGACAGTTCGCCATGGAAGCCATGGCCCTAATCGAAATAGATGGTTTATGATTTATGATGGTTTACCGTTCTTAATAGCATGGGGATTTTCCATGGCAAACTGTGAATGTCATAACCAGATGGTAGATTGGCATAGAGATTAACATGGATTCAGCGATTGTGGCTGTGTCCTTTTCAGTGTTCCCATCTCGCATGTGCTCAGCACATCATGGAGGAAATTGGTGATGGTCAGCCCTGTACTGGTGACATCTTTGAGTCAGAGGCCTGCCCAGCTGACCTGTGGGATGGTCATGAGGATGCTGCAGTGGCTGGTGTACAATCACGTGTGAAACTAGACCTTTTAAAGTATGACACCCAGACAGATTACACAGAATTAGGTCATATAGGTCATGAAAATTCATGAAAATTCATGAAAAGTAAAAATCATGAAATCGATGGATAAACATGGATAAATTTTCGGATAAATCGGATCCGTGCGGTGGATCGAGTGGCTTCCTTGCATGGATTCCTTGCATGGCAGCATGGCATCGTGTCTGACAGGACTGCAGTTCTGAGCTGTGCCCCGTGGATTGCAAACACAGTGATTGGACCCAGTGGACGGAATGCAATCCTTTCTGCCAAGGGGTCATGAACAGGAGACAAAATGGGAGACAAAATGTCGCGAAATGTCGCATAAAGACAGAAACATAAAGACAGAATATCTTAGAACATCTTAGAACATTCGCAGGCGTTTGGGGCAAATTAATCCCAGCCTTCTCTTTGCCAAGACTCTTCTATAGAGGCTTCTCTTCTTGGGTGCCAGAGACTCAATGCGTTGTTATCCTCTGGAAATTACTTTTTAATCCAGGAACGGGTTTGCAGCGTCTTTTTCTATAATCGGCTCTTTTTTTTGTGGCCATCCGAAAGCCATTCGATGTTGTTTTCAACTCTTCCCAGAGTCTTCCCTTCAGCAAACAGATTGGAGGAGTCGAAAGATCTTGGAGCATCCAGCCAACGGTGGCGCAGCCTGTGGCACCATTGCAGAAGTGCAGAATTGCAGCAACGAATGTGTTGATTGAATCTTGGTGCATTTTCGGGTACCTCTTGGTACATTTTCGGTTTGGCTTGATCATTTCATATCATTTCATTTCATATTATTATTCAAATCTATTTGTAATATAATTTCCTGTCGTTTCATATCATTTCATATATCTCTTCCATTTCTGTGACCCTTAGACCTTGATATCTTGATCAAGCAAGCTACTGCCCTGCACTGAAGTTGGTTCCTTGTTGTTTCTTCCGCATCTCATTTGCCTGCTCAGATTTGGCATTTTTTTCGGCGTTCTGTTCCCTAGCTCCTTTTTTCACTTTCTCTGTTGCAGATGTTTGTTCTAGACACATATAGCATCATGTAGCCCATATTTGGCTAAGAACTCAGGTTTTCAGTGTGGGGGTCTATGGGTTGGCGACGGGTTCTATTATTTTCCGCTTGAAAGTTACTGTAGTCTTGGGAAAACCGAACAGTAGCACTGCTTTGCTCATGCGTTTGTACAGCGTCTTTTTTTTCGGCTGGTTACTTTTTTTTCGTGTGGTGTATGACTTTTGCGTTTTTTTTCTGTGTTTCTTGCCTTTGTTTATTGTTTCTTTTTCTTGTTTTTTCTCTCGTTTACTGGATAGGTTGCTGCAGAATGATCTGCAGACCACAGATATCCTTTTCCCATTGGTTGGTTGATTTTTATAAGGGGTTTGTTTACCCGACCCCTTTAGCAACAGGTGATGATAGATGGTATACCAAACGGGCCCCTTTAATCCCCTTTATTTTTACCGAAAGGACTTTAGACTTTGGTCTGCTGCAGACTGAAACATCTGAAACGAACGAAATGCGCAAAGTTTGTGCCACAGGTCAGTGGGGAAGTTGGGGAAGTTGGTCCAGCTGCTCTGTGAGCTGCGGCGGCTCCACCCAGCATCGCAGTCGCGTCCAGTTGGTGCCACAAGCTGGCCGCGGTTTGCCCTGTGAAGGCACCGGTACCACATGGCTGTCAGCCGAAAATCCAGTGGTTTGGAGGGAGCGGTTCGGAGCTATGGCTATCCAAATTCCCGAAAAAAATCCCCATTTAAATGGGAAGCTAAGGAACTACAGATGGATTTTCCCAACCATCTGATAGTTCATTACACATGGAAACGCTGTGTCACTGCTGGAAGAAATTCGTGTCTGACACGTTCTGATCAAAACAACTTACAGCGTTTGAGCAAGACACATGTGCAGCACGAAGAGCACCTGAGCTGCGCGCTGTCTTGAAGCTACCCTCTGGCAAACTAACATAACTATGGAAAATCACCATTTTTAATGGGAAAATCCACTATAAATGGTGATTTTCAATAGCTATGTTAAATTACCAGAGGGTACATCAGTTGAGTGAAAGCCAAGTCTTTCCCAAGGGCAAAGTACTGCGGCTATGTAGTAAAATGTAGTATCTTGGTGCACTCCTTCCCGCAATGGCATTCCTGACTTCTTGCATTTCTGCTAATTCATCCATATTAATCCCTGTGTTGGCTCATTGATGTCATTGATGCTTAAGCTGCTTATCCTGCTGCTACAGGCAGCGAATCCGCGAGCAAGCCTTGCGGTGAGATCAGCTGCCCGGTAGACTGCAAGATGGAGGATTGGAGTGATTGAACAGACTCTGGAAGCATTAGAATTCATTATGAATTCATTCGAAGCAAATTGAAGCATGGACAGGTCATAGAAGCATTGAACATATTGAACTGAATATTGAACTGAAGAATTTCTCCAAGTGTCGGCATAACTTGACCTCACAGCTTTTCCACAGGTTTCCCGCGCCACTGCTGTTTCATGCAATCTACTAAGACAGAGCGTTGTCACCAATGCACTTTTTCATACTTTTTCACTGGGTTGCCGACGTTTACTTCAAGAAACCCTGGCAAGAATCAAGGAATGTACACCCTACTGTTCCGGGACGCAGATGAGAAGTCGTGGCAGCTAGGATGCACATCAGTGGTTCGGACCAGGCGGCCGGCCGCTGCTCTTGGGTGGCTCTGGGTGTTTCTAGGATTCCAAGATCATCACAAGTCATAAAGAAGAACACTGCCTCGCCATTGGAAATAGTCCATACATTTCCATACATTTCCATTGGTTCGGCAAAGAGGCTCGGCAGTCTTCAGTCTTGCAAAGCATACGGGGAAACAGAGCAAGGACTGAAGATTCTCAGACAGACGCATGCACTACAGCCACAGAATAGAGACGGAAACAGACACAGAGATCAAGGAAAGCCAGACCTCAACGCGCATACAAGCCTAGAATGAAACAAAGGCTGTGTTTGCGAAGCCTCATAGAACTGCATTTTCAAACTTCAATGTGGCAGTGTGTCAAAACCAATAGTAGCCCTGTAGTTCACATCAAAATTTAGCTGGGATTTATGGATGTGAATAACCCACTAAAAATGGTATTTTCATAGGTATTGATCCATAGCCATGTTAGCATGGTGGCTTGAAGAGTTTGAACAGAACCGGCATCATCCAATTGTTGCGACTCAGGTGTTGTCTCCGAGCCGCTGGCAGGTGGACAGCCATGTGGTGAGGCTTCCATTGTGGTCAACTGCTCCAACGCCTGCGTGGATTGCGAAGTCTCTCCCTGGTCTGTGCCTAGCAAGACAGAATGATAAGAACGTGGTTGGGGGAAGCCAATAGACCTGAAGGAGATTTATGGTCTTTTCATGTATTTTCACGAATTTTCATATTTACATATGAGGCTATTTTGATCTATAGAATGGGCTTATCAGTGACAATCATTGTGCGCGTGAATCCATGAATCAAACCTTGACAAAATAAAAGCCGGCTGTATATTCCACTGTTTTCCCAAGGTGTGGTCGCTGTGCAGCGCGAGTTGCGGCTCAGGGCGCCAAAGCCGCTCCCGGCTCGTTCTCGTGGAAGCAGAAGGCGAAACAGATCCCGATTCGGTGGCCGATTTAGGTCGTTTATGGTCGATCTAGTTGCCTCAAGGATCCTCCAGGCAGATACTGACATTACAATCAGACACCATTGACCATGAGTATCTATAAGATTCTATGAGTAGAGAAAGTACAGCAATGCAAAGCCCAAACAGAACATCATCAGCGTTACTTGGGAATTGCAAGGCATTAGATTCGACAATGTCAAAGGTTGAAGGATTTGCATCAAGTAGTGAGACCACTATAACATACTATGACCACAACAGAGCTTTTAGGGCTATAGGGATTAAGGCTTTGACAAAAGCTTCGAAACAAAAGAGTGCAAGAGGCGAAGGCAGAAACCGACCAAACAGAAAACAGAAACCTGCAGACTACAAACCTAGCAGACAGTGAGCAATCGAGAAGAAAGCTGGAAGAAGAGTTCGGAAGATTGTCCTGGCAAGAGTAAAAACTCTTCATATACATGAGACAAACAAAAGGCGAAGATTCAAGACACAGGAAGCCAAACCTTATTTCATTTCGGGTGTCATTTGGTGCAGAAGAACCTCGAACCGAACAAAGACCTGACCACCCAGGAAGGGACTTGACTCGCCATTCAGGGAGGACAAAAAACATCAGCTGCAAGTTGGCAGCTGCAAGTATCAAACTTGACAGCCGACCTTTTGGGATCAGCTTCGAGTGCTTCAATATCTTTCAAGATGTTTCGATCAAATATAATATAAGAATATCCAAGAATAATGTCAGTATTTCTCTCTCTCTCTCTACATGTATCATCATGTATCATATGATATCATGTCGAATCATGTGTAACCTTAACTTCAATCTA